AATTTAGTATTTTATATTGCGCCGTGTTATTAATTTTTTTCCCTCGGCAGAAGATAATAAGAGAAACGTTTGAATTGTGGAGAGGTTTAAAATGTAAAAAAAAAAAAAAAATTGTTTAAAAAGGAAAGCAATGTGGATACCTATAGACAGACGATCTTTCTTCTTCCGGAAGTCCCCACCCAGCCCAAGTCCGTTGGCGTTGATGGGTCGGGGACCAGGCCGTGTCCCCCGGACCCTTGGCCAAGCCTGGCGTCCAGAGGAGGTTGGACTTGGGCGATCTCTGATCCCCGAAACAGGGGACATGGTGCCACGTTTCTTTGCCCTAAATGACAAATGCTTGTTTGGTTTTTCTTTTCTGCCCCCAACAGACTCTATCTCCTGCATTCAAGCTCTTCCCGCGAACGCCGCCTGGGTGCCCTGTGGCTCTGTCCCTGCTGTCATCGCGGGGCTTCCCGGGTGACTGGATCTAGGATCAGCCAAGGATGGGACCGCCGCCTGGGGAAAGGTGGTTGAACGATACCTTTGTGGACGGCTCTTCTGTCCTGGTCTGAAGCCCGGGTCAACCTCAGTGTCCTGGCGGTCACAAGCACAGACCCGCAGGGGCCCGGGGAGGGGTCTGCAGGGAGAGGGTTCCGGGCAGGGCGCACCTGTGCCCGTCCCCCTCCTTGTCAGTCACCTAGTGCCCGTCATGCTGCGTAACAAGCAGCCCCCAAAGCCAGCGGCTTGGGACGATCGGTGTTAATTGCGGCTCCGCAGTCTGGGGGGCAGCAGGGCAGCGTCCCTGGTCCCCGCTGGGCTCGTCCCCACGTGTGTGGTCAGCCCCTGGCCGGGAGGCGCAGGCTGCTTTCCCAGCCTGGTCTCTCGCGCGGGTCTGGGGCTGTGCTGGGTGTGGGCCGGTCTAGGACGGCCCGGGCCGGGTGACAAGACTCTCCTTCGTTCCCAGCAGGCTTGGTCGGCCCCTGACCAAGGTTTCGGCCCGCAGCCCCCCTTGAGGTCCAGATTCCGAGCTGCCCGTCACTTCCGCTGCCGGAATCGTTTGGCAAAGCAGATCACTAGATCAGCCCCCACTCGGGAGGTGCGGAAACGGCCCCCACCCCCCATGGGACTAGCGACATAGCTAGAGGCAAAGGGTATAGTGGCGGGGGCAGAACTGGGTCCATTTGGCTACCTTCCCCGGCCCCCCATGAAGGCTTGGGGGCTTTCAATAACCTCCCTGGGTACCCCCAGGCATTCTGTGGTCCTTGATCCTAGCTCTGGTCCTTCCAGAAGTTCCTCCTGTCCATGTTTGCTCTCTGTGCTCTCAAAGGAGCTGTGCCTTGTGTTGCCCAAAACCCCAAATTCCTGACAAGGAATTTCTCTTCACATTGGGGTGTGACCAGGGCTGACATTCTTTTGCTGAAATAATACACTCTCCTAATAGCAAACAGAGTCAGCGTCAGAAGGCAGGGGAGAGGTTAGTCCATACTTAGGGACAAGGGGGAAATGGAAACTGGGAGGTGGGCGTGAACCCACTCCATGCTCCCTGGTGCAGTGTGCAACCTGCCCAACCGTACCATCCCACCTTGATGCCACAAGGACTAAAGGGAGGAGGAAAAGAAGGGCAAAGGGATTCCACCAGGAGCTAGGGCATCATTTAGCCAGAATGAAGGGCCGTCCCCAAACTGAGTGACCCAGAGGGGAGGCGCTGCAGCTAGCAACCTAGCTGGGCAACTCAGACTGGGTAGCCTGGCCTCTTGGGCTCCAAGGCCGGACCAGGCCCCGTGGAGGAGGGGTGGGGGATCAGGAGGTGGGGGAAGGAGGCGGGTAGGAAGGTCTCAACCCAAATGATCCAGTTGGTTTCCCGTCACCCCCCTCCCCACATCCTGTATCCCAGGGAAATAAAGTGCACCTGCGTTCTTGGTTGCCATGGTGACTGCCACACAAAAATTGGGGGGTGGGGGGAGAAGGCCCTGGGGGCGTGAAGAAGCAATCTGCTCTCAGCTCTGGGAGGCAGCACCGGAAACGGAATTTCCCGTGAAGGAAGAAGCGGAGAGAGCTGGGCTGGGCTTGGGGAGGTGGCACACCTTCCCTCGGCCCCCTGCCAGGGACAGAGCCTGGGGAGGGACGCCCCAAGTCTAAGCCCCTGCCTCCCAGCCCGCCTCTCCCACCCCAGGCCCTTTGCATCCGGGGTCTGGGGGGGGCAGGGGGCAGCGTCTGCATACGGATTGCTTTTTTTTTTTTTTTAATTCCAATTCCGACTTGGGACCACGGGGACCCACCAGGCCCGACACCCCCCACATTTCCCCCAAACCCAGGAAGACACCACTCCCTTCCCAGCCCCCCCCCCCCGCCTGTGGGGGAGGGTCCAGACGGCCTGGGTGTGGGGAGGAGGCGAACTGAAGCCCCAAGAGGGAGCCGGCAGCCCCGCTCTTCCCTGAACCTCCCAGAAAGCAGAGAAGGCGCAGTGTGGTGGCAGCTGTGGGCTTTTTTTTTTTTTAATCTGTTAATAAAACGCAAGTGAATCAAATCCGCTCGGAGGGAAGGGGGGCGGCGAGGCAGGGGCCATGGTGTTTGCAGAAGTTGGAAATTTAATAAGAAGGAAAAATAAAAATAGCCACTGAGCTGGAGAGAGAGAGAGGAGGGTTGGGAGAAGCAGGCAAGTGTGGGACTCCAGGCTGGGGGGAGACATGTGCAGAGGGAAGGCGCGTGAGGGGCTTGGGGAAGGTGAGGGCCGCCCCCCCAGTCTGGAGGAGCAAGGAGGAGGGGACTGGGGTGTCACCTAGAACAGTCCACTTCCCTGGCAGACTTGTCCCCAGCGGTGAGGGGGGCACAGAGGTTGGGGATCGGCTGTCTGACTGCCTGGGAGTGGAGGTCCAGCCTCTGGTTGCTTGGCCTTCCCCGTGCCCCCACACCTTCTGAGCGGCGAAGGAGATGGGGCACACAGGCAGGACCGCCAAGAACAGTTGTGCAGGTTGCTCACTGCACAAGAGTACAGGATGGAAGCTAGAGCAGGAGTGGACACGTCACCTGTCCCCCTTGCCACAGCCTGCACCTGCCTAGAGGAAGGGGCACCTTTTAAAGATCTACGCAAAAAGGCTGGGGACAACCACCGACAGGTGTGAATGGGTAAACAGACGTGCTCTGTCCAAAGAGCGGAATAGTATTCGGGCGTGAAAAGGAACGGAGCACTGACGCCCGCTAGGACGAGGGTGAACCTTGCAAACACGATGCCGAGTAAGCGAAGCCAGGTGCCAAAGGCCACGTGTGTGACTCGGTTCATAGGAAGTGCCCGGGACAGGCACGCGTCCAGAGACGGGAAGCAGCTGAGCGGCTGCCAGGGGCTGGGGGAGGGGAGTGGGGGCGACCGCTGATGGGGCCGGAGTTTCCTCTTGGGATGACAAAAACGTCTTGGAACTAGACAGTGGTGACCGTCGCCCGGTATCATGACGGCACCGAGGGCCGCCGACTCCTGCGCTTTTAAAGAGTTGATGGCATGTCGTGTGAATTTCACCTCGATAAGAGGAAAGTCCGCGGGAAGTTGGTGGGGGAAGTTGGTGGGGGCCAGCTGGGCCCCTGCACGTGTCCGGTGACACCCGTCCACCCCCAGGAAGCCCAGGATTGCCGCCGTCCCCGACCGGAGCAGCTCTGCGTGGGCTGCAGCCCGCAGGGGCCCTCTGGCCGCAGCTGAATGGAATCCATTCGTTCATTCACTCCACAAACGGACAAACGGTTACCGAGTGTTCGCTTCGGGCCGGGTGCTGTGCCTTTCCCTGGGGCTGACACTCTAGGCCGGCTGGTTTTCGAGACAAGGTCTCCCTCTGTCACCCAGGCTGGGGTGCAGTGGCGCGATCGATCGTAGCTCACTGCAGCCTCCGACTCCCGGCCTCAAGCGATCCTCCCACCTCAGCCTCCCAAAGTTCTGAAAAGCCACCACACCCAGCCTTTGATTTTTTTTGTTGTTTGTTTGTTTTGTTTTTAATTTTCAGTTCTGATTTGGACGAGGCATCAGCTAGGAGATGACCGAGGTAGAAAATATTTTTATTGCCATTTTATAAGTGGGGAAACCGAGGTATGGAAACAGGAAGTGGCTCCCCCAAATGGATCAGTGGCAGCTTCTGGATTTGAACCCAGGACGCCTGTCTGGGGCTCCAGCGCAGGCGACCCGCACCCAGGCACCTGCCCAGGTGGATGCCAGGCCTGCGAGGTTCTTCCAGGGCCCCAGCCTGGCGGGGTCCCCAAGCCCCCCGGGGCTGCAGCGGAGCGGCTGCTGGTTCGAGGCTGAGCCGGCGGAGGGTCCCGGCGCCGGGGGAGCCAGCGTTGGCGGTGATTGATGGTTTAATATCTCGCCCACGCCTCGGCGGGCGGCCCCCAGCGAGAGGCAGGGATGGGATAATTCGGTTACCAAAAAGAGAACGAAGGAGAGAGAGAGACGGAGGGAGGGAGGGAGGGAGGCGCAGACCAGGGGACCAGCTGGGAGCCGGGTTGGCCTGGCTGGGCTCGGGTCCCCACTCCGGGTGGAATTTGGGGGGCTCCTCTGTGGCCCCTTCTAACTCCCTGTCTTGAGGACCGAGACGGCAGGTATGATGGGTGACAGGCCACAGGGCAGGGACAAAGCCTCAGAAGAGAGAGGGGAACGCCAGAGGGAGGCAGGGGCTGGCAGAGTTGGGGGTGGGGTGGACAGGTGTCTCCAGGTACGCAAGTCAGAAGCTCGGGACACCTTTTTTTTTCTGTTTTCATAGATGGGGTCTTGCTATGTTGCCCAGGCTGGAACTCCTGGCCTCCAGCCATCCTCCCGCCTTGGCCTCCCAAAATGCTTGGATTACAGGCGTGAGCCACCTCACCCAACCCTCAGGTCATCCTTGAATAGAAGCCTCTGTCTCTGTCACCCACAAACAAACGTGGGACTCCATTTCCTCCCCACCTCCACGACCCCCACCTGGTCCAGCCCAGCATGGCTCACCTGCACGGGTCCCTCTGCCGGGTCCTGGTCTCCAGCCTGAAGCCTGTTCCCCGCACGGCCTCCAGGGTGCGCCCGTGAGCCCCTGAGCCGGGCCACGCCCCTCGGCCGCCCAGAAGCCCGGGCTCTCACCGTGAGTTATTGTGAGTTACTACAGCTGCCCGCACACGCTTAGCGTTTCCAAACAACGCAAGGTTCTTGTCTGGCAGTTCCAGAGGTCGGAGGTCCGGCCCGGGTCTCCCCTGCCCCATGAAGGTGCCAGCCGGCTGCGCTCCTCCCTGCAGGCCGCAGGGGAGGACCAGTTTCCTTGCTCTTTCAGGGCTTGCAGAGTTCAGTTCCTTGCGGTTGTCGGACTGAAGTCCCCATTTTCTTCCTGTAGCTCAGATTCCCAGCTTCTAGGGCTCGCTGAGCAAAAAGCAAAAAAAAAAAAAAAAAAAAAAAAAAAATTTTTTTTTGAGACAGGGTCTTTCTCTGTCGCCCAGGCTGGAGTGCAGTGGTGCAACCCAAGTTCACTGTATCCTGCAACTCCTGGGCTCAAGCGATCCTCCTGCCTCAGCCTCCCCAGTAGCTGAGACTGCAGGCGTGAGCCGCCACGTCCGACTTCCCTTGCTCTTTTAAGGACTTGTGTGATTAGGCTGGGCAATCTAATAATTGGATAATCTGGGATCATCCGCCTGTCTGAGGATCCTTAAGTTAATTACGTCTGCAAAGTCCCTTTGGCCAGCGAAGTTGCACGTTCACCGGTCCGGGAAGGTCTGCTTACCGGCCACCACTCCCCACAAAACTACAGTCCTCCCTGAGGCCAGGAAGCCACACGTGCTCTGTGCCCATCACTGCCTCCTACAGACGTGGGTCTCCCCACTGTTCTCCAAACTCACCAGGCGCCTTGCTGCCCCAGGGCCTTTGCACTGGCTGTTCCCAGCTGCCTGAATCACCATCCCCCAGATATGTGCACATCTGCTTCCCCCCTTCCTCCAGGTCTCCCTTTACATGTCCCCTCCCCAGGGAAGCCTTCCCTGATACTACACACGCCGCCACCCCCACTGCCCCAGGATATAACCACAGATATTGATTCCATGTTTGTCTTGTGCATTGTCTGGGTCCCACCCCGGGATCTCCGCTCCTAAAGGGAAGTTCCTCTACTTTGTTCCCTTCTGACTCTGCACTGCTCTTCCTTCCCCAGCCCTTGGCAAACAGCAGGTGCTCAATAAGTGTTTGTTGAGTGAGCAGAAAGGTAGGAGGGGCAGGTGGAGAGGGCTTGGTGTGAAGACAGGAGAGATAAAAAGACCTAGAAGAATATTGGATGTCAAGAGATCACTGTGCAGCCGGGGCGTAGTGGCTCATGCCTGGAATCCCAGCACTTTGGGAGGCTGAGGAGGGAGGATCGCTTGAGGCCGAGAGTTCGAGACCAGCCTGGGCAACATAGCAAGACCCTGTCTCTACAAACAAACAAGCCAGGTGTGCTGGCATGTGCCTGTAGTCCCAGCCACTCAGGAGGCTGATGCGGGAGGATTGCTTGAGCTCAGGAGTTCAAGGTTGCATTGAGCCATTAATTTGATGGCGCCACTGCATACCACCTGGGCGACAGAGTGAGACCCTGTCTCAAAAAACAAACAAACAAACAAAAAAACAAAAACAAAAACCCGAGCTCACGGTGATAAAATGCACCCGTGTTATACAAACTCTGTTCACCAGGTTGTATTAACCACAACTGCGGCTTCACCTCCCACTGCCCCGGCACCTGTTTCCAGGTTGGGGGGAGCTTGTCCCCCTGCCCCTGCCCCACCGGATACAATCTTAGCCTCGTGACTTTGCTTCCTGCTCACCTCAAATGACGGATGTTCCCAGGGTCACGTCGGGTAACAGGGCGTCTTGGCTTTGACTCAAAATGAGAACGTCCAGACCGAAGCTGGGACGGCGGTTTAGACTCAAGTCTCGTTTTTCCCCGCCGCCCCTAGCCAGGGGCAGGTTCTCGGGGTCTGGGTGGAGCAGGGGGTCCCTTCCATTCCCCCCCTTCCTTTCTCTCCTTTCCTTTCCCACCCAGGACTCACGCTCTGGGAGCATGGCGTGTCAAACGGTGACGCCTAGAGGGACGTGTCCACCTCTTACCAGCCCAAACCTGTGAATGTGAGCTTATTTGGAAAAGGAGTAAGAGTCTTTGCAGATGTCAGTGATTAGATAAGAATCTCAAGATGAGCGCCGGCGCCGTCGGCCTCACGCCTGTATATCCCAGCTCTCGACCGAGGCGGGCGGATTGCTCAAGGTCAGGAGTTAGAAACCAGCCTGAAGGCCGGGCGCTGTGGCTCACGCCTGTAATCCTAGCTCTTGGGAGGCCGAGGCGGGCGGATTGCTCAAGGTCAGGAGTTCAAAAACCAGCCTGAGCAAAGACGACCCCCGTCTCTACATAAATAGAAAGAAATTAATTGGCCACTGATATATATTAAAAAACTAGCCGGGCATCGGTGGCCATCCTGACAGTCCAGCTACCCGGGAAGGCTGAGGCCAAAGCATCACTCGAGCCCAGGAGTTTGAGTTGCTGTGAGCTAGTGCTGACGCCACGGCATGCACCTAGCCTGGCAACAAAGCGAGACTATGCTCAAAAAAAAAAACAAAAGAACCAACCGAGCAAGAGCGAGACCCGTCTCTACCTCCACAACACGCGCCACTTTCCCTACCACAATACCCTACTATATACACACCCTCTCCCGTCTCGGGCATCCCGCGCCGGCGCTTGCCTGTCAGTCAGCTTCTCGGGAGGCAGGCAGAGACTTGAGCAGGAGTTGGGAGCGCCTGCTGCCGCCCCCGCCCGCTCGCCACGATCACTCATCAGCCTGCGCACACCAGCTGACGATTGCTCTCCACCCCAATCTCCCCGCTCGCGCTCTTCTCCGCGCTCTACCTGGGGCCCTAATCTAATAAGCTTGCTCTTCTTCGCAAGAGGAGCCCGCCCGACTGGAATGATATGGCCGCAGCCAAGCAATGCCTCCGGGCAGCCTGGAATTGGAAACGAGGTCGCGAGCAACTCCTCTTCTAGACCCTTCACGGGAGCTGGCCCCTGGCCTGAGCACCTTGATTCTAAACTTCTGCCTCCGAAACTGTGAAGCAGAATATATTTATTGCTTTTCTGAGACAGTCCTGTCCTTTTGTGCCCAGGCGGAGCTCGCAGTGCCACGCATCTTCGCCATTAGTCTTCTTTTTTTTTTTTTTGAGACCAGAGATCGCGACTTTGTTGCCAAGCGCTAGAGTGAGTCCGTGGTGCTCAGCCTGCTCACAGCAACCTCAGACCCGGGCTCAAGCGATCCTCTCTGCCTCAGCTTCCCGAGTAGCTGGGCACTACAAGGCATGCGCCACCCATGCCCAGCTAATTTTGCTATATATCTTTTCTAGTGGTCAATTAATTCTTTCTATTTGTGTACCGCGAGAGCGCCGCCCAGCGCTGCGGTTTTGAACTCCTGACCTTGAGCAATCCGCCCGCCTCGGCCTCCCAAAGTGCTAGGATTACAGGGGTGAGCCACCACGCCCGGCCACTCATGTAGTCTTGAACTCCTGGGCACAAGCGATCCTTCTGCCTCAGCCTTCTGAGTAGCTGGGACTACAGGTGTGCGCCACCACGCCCAGCTAATTTTTTTCTAGTTTTAGTAGAGACGGGGGTCTCATTCTTGCTCAGGCTGACCTCGAACTCCTGACCTCAAGCGATCCTCCTGCTTTGGCCTCCCAGAGTGCTAGGATTATAGGCGCGAGCCACCGAGCACGGCCCATCTGGATGTTTTGAAAGCACAGCAGCCTCAGGGCCTTTGCATATGCTATGTGGGCACCAATCTGGCCCTGGCACCCGCATGCCTTGTTCTGTCTCTTTGTTGAGATCTGGGGCACCGACTGCCCCCCAGGGTCCCTTTTCCGTGTCTCTCTGTGTCTCATTTGGTGAGTAATTTTGTTTTTTCATTATGGCAAAATATCTGCAACGTAAGATTTACCATTGTAACCATTTCAAGTACACGACTCAGCTGCACTAAGCACATTCACCATGTGCAACGGTCACTTCTGTCTAGTTGCAGAACTTTTTCATCCCTCCGGAGAAACCTGGTGCCTATGAAAGCGGTCCCCTCCTCCAGCAACTCCGTCCCCGCCGACACCCGCGTTATGTTCCTTGTTTTTTTTTTTTTGAGACAGAGTCTCACTGTGCTTGCCCAGCTGTGAGTGAGTTGCCGTGGCGTCCAGCTATCGCTCACAGCAACTCCAAACTCCTGGCTCAAAGCGGATCCCTCTGCTCAGCCTCCCAGTGGCTGGGACTCATGCTGCGCCACATGCCCACGCTAATTTTTTCTATATAGTTTTTAGTTGTCCGGAATTAAATTTCTGTTCTATTTTTAGTACAGGACGGGCGGGGGTCGTCCTCTCACTCTGTGATCAGGCTGAGGCAACAGTCTACCTCTTCTGCCCAGAGCTAGGAGTGAGTGCCATGCTTCAGCCTTGCTCACAGCAATCCCTCCCAACTCCTGGGCTCAGAGCAGCTCCTGTGCCTCAGTCCTCCCCAGTGGCTGGGACTACATTGCATATGCGACCACCAATGCGCAGCTAATTTTTTCGTATATATTATTAGTGTCCAATTAATTCTTTCTATTTTTAGTAGAGACGGGGGGGGTCTCTCCACTCTTGCTCAGGGCTGAGACACTCCTTCTGTTGCCCAGGCTAGATGAGTGCCATGGCATCAGCCTCACCTCACGAGGCAACCTCAACTCTGGGCTCAAGCGATCCTCCTGCCTCAGCCTCCCGAGTGGCTGGGACTACATGCATGAGCCAGCCACCATGCCGGCTAATTTTTTATGTATATATTTTTAGTTGGCCGATTAATTTCTATTTTTTAGCAGAGACGGGGTCTTGCTCTTGCTCAGGCTGGTCTCGAACTCCTGAGCTCAAACAATCCTCCGCCTCGGCTCCCGAAGTGCCAGGATTACAGGCCGTGGAGCCACCGCGCCCGCCATGTTCTTGTCTTTTACATCAATTAGAACATCCCTGTGTATCTCAGCTGGGCGCAGATGTCTAGAGAAAGGACTACTTCCCATCATTCCTGAAGCTGGGGTCATTGTGACCACCATTCTGCCCAATGGCGCGCGAGCAGCTGCTGCCGTAGGGAATCTTTCCAGGGAAGACTCAGGCTGAAGCCCTGAGCCTTCACTTTTCGTCCCTTTCCACGCACTGGACCATCGCAGTCGGCTGGAGGTGGAAGCGTGCATCCACCCTGATACCGCGTGGTGGTGGCGCCGGAGAAAGACAA